AATCACGCGGCGTGGGGATACTGGACCCAACCATACGGGCACGCCGGTGTGACGTTCGAAAGCCGGTCCAGTAAAGACTGGACGCGTGGATATATCTTGGATTACTTCGAGCGCGTACTAGCGTCGACCAGTCCAGACCAAAGCTGCCAAGATACTTGCTGTGCAACTTCCACCAACACTGGACATGGGACCCAAACAGCGAACGCAGAAACGTCGAAGCCAGCTTCGTCGGCAGATTGGCGCGCTTTGGCAAATTTCGTTGAGGCGTCAAAGCTGCCAAACACCGCGTAGAAAACGCGCAAAAAAGGGTGCAAATCAAGCGGTTGCCAGTAGATCGGTTCTGAAGGGTAAATTTAATGTTGGCCTGAACGGGCCCCGAACAATGCGTATCTCGCATTATATGTGGGGCCATCGCACTAGAGAAATCGGTTTGGTGCAACATATTGGAACAATCTATGTGGCGCAAGTGATTGTTACAAACGAACTCACATATTCTACGTTCTTGCAAACATCCCACACACCCGCCCACAGCTTTGTTTGCAAAAACCCGTGCAGCGACAATTCCGATGAGTGTTGGGTGTTGGCTGATACATCTCTGCGGCCGCGTTAGCCCGCGCATGTTTGCGGGCACAGCGGCTAGCTAGTTTGGCCCGGCCGAAGCGGCCGCGGTGGCGCTGACCGCTGGGCACTTCCCAACGGGCACGTCAGTGCGAGTCGGTGGCTTGGGCGGGCGCGGTATCATGGCGACGCCGACAACGGTAGACACGATTATGAGAGTAGCGATGATGATGATGATGATGATGATGATAGTGGCAATGACGACTGCAAGGCCAATGACGGCGCCGATGTTGATCACGCCCATCGATAACGATGACGATGTCCTCGCGTCGGCGCCGAAGGTTAAGTTCGACATACGCCCGCGGCCGACGCGCGCGAGTGGCCTGCGTGCTATTGTTTGACTCAGATCGTGCCCACCCCCCAGCACGCGCGCAAGGGCGTTCGAATGAGTTCGACATGCGGCGCCAGAGGCCCGATTGGCTGACTTTCATGAACATGTTGACAACCTATGGTTTTCTCGAGAATCCGCGAGACCACGAGCGCAGCTTTTTGTTGAAAACTGGTGTTGCAAAGCCATGTACTGTAGAATGTGTTCGGAACCCTCGTTTCTTGAAACCCTTACGAAACCTAGCTTTGATTGAAAGATTTCGGCATGCGCGCGCGACGACGCGTTTGCGCGGGCACTCCGTCCCCTGTGTTGCAAGGGGCTCTTACGACAGCACGCGCGCAAGGGCATTCGAACGATCTCGACAAGCGCGCGAGAGGCCTGTTGGGTAGCATGCTATGGATTGTTTGCATCACCGATGGTTGCCTGAAGATTCGCAAAAGCACGCGGACGCAGGTTTTGTTTGAAAACCGATGTTGCGAAACCACGTTTACATGTGTATGTATATAGGTATGTTCGTGGCTGTCGATCATGAACCCTTACGGAACCGTAGGTTTTTGACGGTTTCCCGCTTGCGCGCGCGACGACGCACGCGTTTGCACTTCGTCACATTTGTTGCACGGAGTTTTGGAAACTTCTGGTTTTTGATAAACGAGCTCGCGCGCATGATATTTGTTGCAGAGGACGGAAGGGGAGAACCGATACTGGCCTGCCTGCACTGGTACGCAAATAGAAATACGAAATGGTGGCCCGTTAACCCCTGGGGGGATGTCCTAATAGTCTTTTTCATGAGGAGAATATACGGTGTGCCCTCTAGGCTATGCAAGCTACGATGTGCGATCTACGTTGTGCTATTTATGTGGTGGAAGCTACGTGGCGCAGTTATTTCTGAAAAAACTTGAAGTTGATAACACTCCTGCTCGCGCAAGCATTCCACCCACCCACCCGCAACTTGGTTTGCAAAAACCCATGCGGTGGCGATTGCGGTGAGTGCTTGGTGTTGGCTGGCGCATCGCTGCGGCAGCGTTGGCGCACGCAGGCTCCCGCGTTCATCGGCCAGCTCGTGTGGCGCGACCGACGCGGCCGCGGTGGCGCTGACCGCTGGGTACTTTCCAGCGGGCACGCCAGTGCGAGTCGGTGACTTGGGCGGGCGCGGAATCACGACGACGCCGACAACGGTAGACACGATGATGATACTAGCGATGATGGTGACGATGCGGACGATGAGAACGGCAATGCCAATAACGGCGCCGATGCTGATAACGCCGATGACGATGACGGTGTCCGTCGGCGACGAAGATTTTCGAAAGAGTTTGACATGCGCGCGCGGCCATCGCGCGAGAGTGGCCCGCATGGCATCAGTTGGCCGGAAGCGTGCACCCCCAAGACGCGCACAAGGGAACTCGAATGATTTCGACATGCGGAGCGAAAGGCCCGTCTGGCCGAATGTGATGAACATGTGGGAAGCAGGTGAATCCCGTAGGAATTCGCAAGGGCACGCGCGCAGATCCTTGCTCTCAAAACTAGCCTTGCAACAACACATGTTTTTTACACGTG